AATTGAACTAAATAACGCATTTGTATTAAGTAGTCATGGAGAAACTTACCACTTGATGAACAGATATGAAGAACCGCCTGCAGATTTATGTATATTATTAGAAATTAAATCAAACAACACATTTGCATCAAGAAGTCATGGAGAAACTTATTGCATGATGAATAGATATAATGAATTACTTGTAAAACTGAATAAACTATTAGGAATTAAACCAAACAATGCATTCGCATTAAGAAGTCATGGGAAAAACTATACGCTTGATGAACAGAGATGAAGAATCACTTGTAGATTTGAATAAATCATTGGAAATTGGACTAACTGATGCATTTATATTAAAGAATTCGTGATGATGCTTATCATATGGGAAAAAAAAAACAGAAGCATCAAGAATACATAGTTTTATCATATAATGAAAAGATAGAGAAGACCATTTACAGATTTGAACAAAATCATCAGTAATTGAACCAAATAACGCATTTGTACTGAGAATTCGTGGCAATGCTTATTGTATAGATTCGTGGAGAAATATATCATATGATAAAAAGATATGAAAGGTCACAAAATCAAACTAACTAATGCATTTGCATTAAGGATTCAAGAGATACTTATCATACGATGAAGAGATATAAAAACTGCTTGTATATTTAAATAGATCATTGGTAATTGAACCAAATAATGCAGAAGCATTAAGAATTTGGGGCGGTACTTATCGTATAACGAAGAATCACTTGCAGATTTAAATGAACCATTGAAATCAAAACAGATGATGCATCCACCTTAAGAAGAAATTAAACAAAATAATGCATTTGCATTAAAAATTCATGGAGATGCTTGTTGAATGACGAATAGATATGAAGAATAACATGCAGATTTAAATAAACCATTAAAATTTGAACCAAATAATGCATTTGCGTTGGAAATTCTTGGAGATACTTATCGTATAATGAATAGTTATCATGCAAACTCTTATGTTTATAGATTTTTTTCTTCTTGTTATTTTTTGTATGTTATTATGTAAGCACAACAATACTGAATTAAAACTCAGTTAGCCAACCACGACTCGTAAATCATGATCATAATTGCACGATAACATCGATATTGGATCATTGCATTACCAATATCTTATACATATGAAGAATTACCTGCAGATTTAAATAAATCATTAGAAATTGATCCAAAAAACCAGAAGCATCAAGAACTCATGGTGACATTTATCACATAATGAAAGGATATGGAAGTTCACTTACAGATATAAATAAATTGAACTAAATAACGCATTTGCATTAAAAATTCGTGACGATGCTTTGTATGAATTCGTGGAGATACTTATCATAAGATGAAAAGATATAAAGGATCACCTGTAGAAATTGAACTAAATAATGCATTTGCATTAAGGATTTGTAGAGATACTCACCATATGACGAAAAGATATGAACAATCACTCGCTTGTTTGGATAAATCATTAAAAATTGAACCAAAGAATGTAGAAGCATTAAGAATTTGTGGCGGTACTTACCGTATGACAAATATAATAAGAAATAACTTGTGGATTTAAATGAATCTTCAGAAATCAAACCAGATAACATATCTGCTTTGAGAGAATGTGGAGAAAAGACTTATCACACGAATTCATTGTGATATTTATCACAAAAAAAAAAAATTTATAGAGATGCTTACCGTATAATGAATAGACATTACAAAATCGTTTGCAGATTTAGTAAAATATCAGAAGTTGAACCAAACAATGTATTGCATTAATAAGTCGTGGAGATACTTACTGCATAGTAACATGAAAAATCACTTGCAGATTTAAGCAAATAATTAGAAATTGAACCAAGCGATGCAATGCATATACCATTCGATTCGCTGATTGTCAACATGCTTAAATTGTTTAAAGAATGCTTAGGCAGAATTCTTTGATCAAAACCAATCAGATTTGGGTCAACCACGAAAGGTTATTCTCGCCCAGACTTCGTGTGCTAAATAAACACGTCCTATTCCTCAAAGATGAAGAAAGACAGATGCAGAAAATTTCGAAAAGGCTTTGAAAGATCTTGAGGGTAAATTCAATAGAATAGATCCTATTACTCTTGAAATGGATTATATTATTTGCTATGCGGCGGCCGGGTGCAAATTACAGTTTTATGGAATTGATGAAAAATACAATGCCCTGAGCAGCCTAGTTCCACTCTCAAGGATAATAAGAACAATCGTCTTAAGCATACTCTGAATTTTGGAATTTCTAAATTTTTAAAATTCTGAAATTCTAAAATTTTGAATTTTTGAACTATCAAACAAAATGACTTTTAAGGATTTGCACCAACTTTCAGCAGATTTCACTCAACTTCTTGAAAGTAAATATGATTATAGATTAAATGTTGATATTTTTCATATGATCTACTTGGTAGATTGGATTTTTATATAGCAAATAAAAAAATACTTCTGTACTTCTGATAATATATATTAAATTTATATGATATGTAGCTTAAAATAGTTTGTTTATAATAGTGAAGTTCGCAATATGCATTGCTTTAAAAAGAAGTTAACTTCATACAGTATATAATCAAATTAATATGTTAAAGTATAAAATAAATAAATTTCATTAAATAGTTGAGCACTTAATGATATTTTTTTTTTAGTTAAGCATTTAAAGATGATATTTTTTTGTTTAATTGAGCCCAATATTTAAAAAATTGTATAGATGCTTGACAAAATTATTTTTGAATTGACGAATAGTACCGTCATTTTGCGATTGTACTTAAAACTTTATATAAACACCAAGAAATTTTTTTATAAACTTAGACAGTATACTCCTTAGAATAATATTCTAATTCAAAATTAATTTCGTCACTAATAATTATAGATCAAAATAATTTTGTCAAGAGTTTTGTCATTTCGTCAGGTTTAATTTTGTCTACTAATAAAATCAATTTCGTCAAGCATCATTAGTTGAGCGTAATATTAAAAAATTTGGTTTTATTAGTTGAGCATAATTAAATTCGTACTTTTAATTATCTGTAAACTGAATATTTTACATATACAGCACATATAATTTGCAAGTTCTTATTATATAAATTCCATGTTTCTGATAATTATCATAGCATAGGCATAAAAACTGTTCTAGCATATTAAAGTGGCTAATTAATTTTATATTAGAATAAATTTTATTAGGAGTCTGGATTTGCAAACATAGTGTGCCACATAAACAGAAGTTTTCCTAAGTGATCGATTGCCCGGTAACTTATTTATATGTTATACAGTACTTTTTAAGAACCCTCAAAAAACACCAAAAAACTATCTTTAGACTTAACATTTGCTAAAATAATCTAAAATTATCTAAAATTGACAAAGCAAGATATGCTGTTACCTATTGGATTATGCTATATAGTAAGGTAACAAGAATGTTTTTTACTTAAACTGCTTTATTGTTTAACTTGAATAAGTACAAGATTTTTAGTAGTAAAAAATCTGGGTCAAATATTTAGATTTGGTCAGTTTTTGTAGTTTGTTAAGTTTGTTAAATGTAAATTTAAAATCTTGGCTTATATATTGTGAAAATTTTCTAATAAGTTTGTGTTTATTAATAATAAACATCATATTTACTTTATATATAGTTAAAGCTTGACATAACGAAGTTTTATATTACGAATTTTGTCCTATAACGAATTATTTAATTTAAGACGGAACATCTTACGACGGAAAGAAAATGGTTTAAATTTAATGCACCAGCTTTGGCCCCAGAGGGGCCCAAATTTGTGCATTAAATTCAAGACGGAATTTAAGAAAATTTTTTTTCCGAAATAAAAGTAAGAATAAAACAAACAAATCTATTATCTTGCCATATTATGGGCGGTGAAGCCGCCCGCATGATCATGTTCTAGTTGATTAAATAAAGAACCCAATCAATATTTAATCGTTTTTATCAATTTTACAGTAAGTGGGTTATTAAAAATATTGCAAATATATAGAAATATGTACATTAAAAAAAAAAGAGAAAAAAATAGCATTATATTAATACGTTGATAATGAAGGTTTATGATCAAAAGTACAAAATGCTTGAACAAAATTCTATTTATTTTAATAAGGTTCTGATAAGCCAACGCGATCCAGTATGAATAAGGAGATCGGCCATTTATTAAAAAGTAAACAGATACACATTCATTGACTTCCATTAAATAAATAAATAAATTTGGTATTTAACTGTATTTGTTCGAAATTAGTTAGCAATAATAATCATGCCTTATAATAAAACATATATGAACGTAATAGCTAGTCATATCGTTTTTAAAATAAAGTTGAGTGTTTTGCAAATCTAAGCTATAAATCTAATATTGTCACGAGATTTATACCCGACCAATCAGATAACATTTAAGTAGACGGAGAGCCTTAGTGTGATTTCGATAATAATGTTTATATAAGGTATACGAAACAACATCCATCCAATTCCATAACGTTAATATTGGTTATCCTGTGCGCACAAATGCAGTGCCAGTATTACCTTCCATACTATCATGTCTAACTAGAGTCCAAGCCATAATCACGATTGACTTGATACGGAATCTAAAAAATGATGGTCATTAATGATCACCAAATTCTTTCGCCATCTTGGCCTTTGATGATCACTGATTATCAATTTATCCGGCAAACTCATATGATCATGGCGCAGCATCGCCTTGATATTTTTTAACCGATTTTGGCACAATGCCAAATATTCAATTTATAGGCAAATATTGTAGACAATAAATCAAATATAATAATACCAACAATTTTAACAGTACATTAAGATAAGTTAAATTTGCGTATTTTTATTTTATTTTTTTTGTTCAATACTAATTATATATTTATTTTTTAATTTAAGGCAATTAAAAATTAAAAACACAATTATTGAAAGTATTCTCACCAAGGAATCTTTCAATAAATTCCTTTTGACTTCCCTCACTACTTTGTATATTTTCGTAATGTCTGTTTTGCAATTCCACATCACCCAACACATTCCGTATTCATGGTGGTGTTTCGGTCATGGTTGCTGATCCTGGTGGTTCGGTCGTAGTTGCTGATCCTGGTAGTTCGGTCGAGGTTGCTGATCCTGGTAGTTCAGTCATTGCTGATCCTGGTGGCTCATCGAGAAATGAAAATGCTTCAAGGCCATCAATATCATTTGCAAGTTCACTTGCAAGTGATATCATTGAGCTTGCCCATTTGAATCCTCTACTCATATGATCCAGTTGCATTTTAGGTGTTTTATTTTCTAAAAAAAGAAAAAAAAATGTAAAATCAAAATTTGAACACTTCACTTAAATTTACAAAATTATAATAAATACCTTTTGATAACCCTTCTTCATTGTTTACAATTATCAATGCTCTTAAAAATCCATTGAAGCCTTCTTGCTGCATTATAGTCTTCGGTCATTCATATGCGACCAGACCCTTCTGTGACTTATGTCTCATAATTGACATAACAACAGTATCAGAATATCTGAGTTTCTTTAATACTTGGACTGCAGTTTTCCTTCCCAAATGGTTAAATATACTTTGACCACCAAATTGTATATCTGTAGATTCACAAATGGTCCAAAAGAATGTTCTTAATTTTTTTTCCCAAATGCATGCCCATAATATTATTAACCACTGAATTTGACTTGAAAACAAAAATTGTTAGACAAATAAATTATTAAATTCAAAATTAAAATACTATTTACCTGTGTTCGCAGGAACTGAACTCAAATAAAAATTTGTCAATATAGTGACTGGACACTTAACAAAATAGAACTCATAATCATCAATTATGCTCTTTATATTTGGTAGACTAATGACCTCGGCTTGCCTATCATAATTCCCAAGTCCTCGTTGATTCATTTTCAATTGATACAGCTTTACATCAATTTCTCTGTCAAACCATTTTACAAAGTTATCAATTCAAAGGTCTTGATGCTCACCACCCCACAGAGCCAAAAGAATTAAATTATAAAAAAAAATGTACCGCAACAGTCCTTCAGGATTATTATGCTGCATAGTATGGCAGGAAAGAATTTCTTCAACTTCTTGCAAGGTCAGAGCATCTGACTCGGCATGTTTATCTAGACCCTTCACTAATAAAATTTTCAACTTGCTATTTACGATGATATTCAAATCAAATAGCCTTTCGGGTTAAGAATCTCCACAGACTTTGGCATTACAGAGT